AGAACAATACAGTACTCCAGCAGTCAAATTAATGATGATGGTTATCCTCCTAAATCAAAGGCATACTTGATTTTGATGGTTTTAAACCTTTGCAAAGCGCAGAAATAGTCAGGGCCAGATATACATCTTGAGACTACTAGAGAGATCTGCCTCCTGGCTGACACCTTGTGGACCTCTTGTAAAAGTGAGTCCACCAGTAAGCTGTCCCTCAATGTTCAGATGGACAAATAAAATGGCAAACATGTTTCTGATACAATTATATTTCCATGTATTGCTATTTGTTTTTCTGTTATTTATGCTTTCTCCTAGCTGCAGCCATATGAAACCAGGAATATATGCATTTAAGGAGATACTAACAGATGCAGTATGCTTGCCAATGAGCTCTCTGAATCACCATTTTTCTCTGCATAACACTAGCTTTTCTTGTCACATTCGATGCGTAATTGAATCTAAGGGCTTGTGTAACAGAACGGACTAGATCAGTGGTGGCGAACCTATGGCACGGGTGCCAGAGGCGGCACGCAGAGCCCTCTCTGTGGGCACGCGCGCCGTCGCCCCAGTCCTAGGCCTTCAGCTGGGTTTTATAAAACCTTTTTGCTTTAGGCCTCCGCCGCCGTGTGCAAAAAAAAAAAAGAAAAAAGTTCAATCAGTCAATTTCAACTTCTTGCTGGGGAAAAAAAAGATCTTGCAAAGTTGAAATTGATTGATTGAACTTTTTAGTCCCACCCAGTCTGCCATTACCACCGCAGCCACGCCCACCCAATGGGCCACACCCACCCGGCACTCGACAATGCATAAGTGGGTTTTGGGTTGCAGTTTGGACACTCAGTCTCTAAAAGGTTCGCCATCACTGGACTAGATACAGTAATGCCCCAGCTTTTTGATGAGATCCCTAAGATGCCCTTCAAGCAATCACTTATAGCAAAACCCCAATATTCAGTCAATGACAATGGGCAAATTTATATGTATGCAGTAGTTTTACAACTGAGTAGGATTTTAACAATGCTCTCATTCCATGGCAGTCCCTGGTATTTTTCATACTTTTGACATTTAGAAACATTGCAATATTATCTTAACAAGGATGATGTCAAGCTTGAAACTCGCTTTACCGATGACTTGAAAGGAAGTCTAATACTGTTAACTGAATCAGGGTAAATGGCCAATGAATTGCAGTCTTAAAAAGTCTCTTTTACCATATATCACAGGTGGGCAATTTGTCGTCTATAGGTTGCAAATATGCACACAGAGCCATTTTTATGATACCATAGTGTGGATAACCAATTTTTAGTATCAAAATAGCCATTTTTGGCAATGTAAAATTTTTGGTCTCTTGTCATATTTGTGTATCAGTTGAATATGTTTTCTAAAAAGTGAAAAATAGGCCTTGTCAATTAAAGTGACATCACCCTCAAACTTACTACAGTCTGGTAAAGAAAATCAAATGCATCCTGTAGCACAAAATGTAGCCCATCTGCATCTTCATTAATAGATACAAGTATGGCCATTCTCCATGCAGTAGTTCTTTGATAAAATTAGGGGTTATGTTGGCTAACCATATTTTTAATACAACTGTTTTAATACCGGTAGTTAATAGTGCACAGAGTTTTTTCTCATGTTATCTTTTTAGAATCATGGTGGGTGGTACAGTACTACATCAGTGTTCCTACAACAGAGAAAGTGATGACATTTAAAAGGGAACAGTATGTGATCCCAGTGATTTTTGCTTGAACAAAAAAAATTAAACTGATTAAAGCATGCTCCACAAATCAACTAATTTAGGTTGCAATTCTGTTGTTTTTGGTGGGAGTGTCTTACCTACAAATTGCTTAATGTTTCCTGTTCAACAACAGGTGCTTACATGCTGTCCTATGGGCTACTTAATGGTAGGCTTGGTATTTAAAAACAAAATACAGTAGAATTTATCACATTATGTAAAGACAATCATCCTGGATCATAGAGCAGTTGCTTTGCCTATGATCACAGCTATTATGATTTTCATGGAAGATTTTGTACAGAATTCTGTGAGAGATTACTAACCACTTACAAAGGGTGATAAAGGCTAAATATTGTATGAAATTCATAACTGATGAGCTATTTCGCCATTTAAAAATGTGTTTCTGGTAGCAAAACACAGGTATGGGCATGCTGTTTTAAATGGAAAAAAAATTCTGCTAGTTACAGCATGAGTCAAACATCTACTGGCTCCTCATTTGTTATTACAGACAATTACAGATGCAAATTACCCCAAGCATGGTATAATTGGTGACTGTGCAGAATTCTGGAATGTGAGCAGTTCATCATATGTTAATGTAACCATGGCTAACAACTTATTTGTCTAGCGAAATGAATACAGGTAGTTTTTGACTTATTGTTATGACATATTCTTATCAGTGTTACTCTCCGTATCTTGTGCCATACATTTGTGTGAAGGTGTAAAGAGAGATACATTTAAAAATGGCTATATGAGTTCCATTCAAAACAGGCTACAGAAGCAAAAGCATTTGTTCTGGAAAGCAGAATATTTGGTTAATGCAGAACGTTGAAAAATACCAGAAGTCTTTTTAGAATGCTGTATATTAGATGGTTCTCAAAAAACAAAGCTGTAACTAAAACAAACATATTTCTCAAGAAGTCTGAGAAAGACACTCAACTGCGACCGGCCAACTTTTGTCAGGATGGCAGTTGTAATTCTTCAGAGCGATCACATACTGTGAAGAACTAATTATGTGCAGGTGGTCCTCAACTTATGACCACAATTGGGCCCAAAATTTCTATTGTTAACTGAGACATTTGTTAAGTGAGTTTTGCCCCATTTTATGACTTTTCTTCCCAGAGTTGCTAAGTGAATCAGTACAGTTGATAATTTAGTAACCTGGCTGTTAAGTGTATCTGGCTTCCCCATTGACTTTGCTTGTCAGAAGGTTGCAAAAGGGGATCACTTGATCTTGGGACACAGCAACAGTCATAAGTATGAACCGGTTGCCAAGCATCTGAATTTTGATCACATGATCATGGGAATGCTACAAAGGTCATAACTCTGAAAAATGGCCATAAGTCATTTTTTTAGTGCCATTGTAACTTTGATTGGTCACTAAATGAACTGTTGTAAGTCAAGGACGACCTGTAAAACAGAACTGAAACTATGAAGTCTGCACAGCATTTAAAGTAAACTGTGCAAAATTAAGTTTGCTTTAAATATTTAAATTATTTTTATTTATTTGACTGGATATGCATTCTACTCCAATTATTTATCAACTTTAAGCAGGTTATAAATAATGCCATTTATTTGTCTGGAGAATTCTGGGAGTTGAAACACATCTTAAAGTTGCAAAGGTTGAAAAACATTGGATTGGATGATCTTTATCCTCCTTTCTGAGTGTATGTTTCTATATTTGGAAATTGTTTATTCCAAAGTTACAATATTCCAACATTATTTATAACTATTGACATACAGTAGTTAATATTTATATATTTTTGAATATGCAAAATATGTTGTTATATGGTAAATATAAATATGATAGTTGGAACAGGTTCAGCAAAGGCTATATCTACAATAGTGCGTAAATTTATTACAGTGGACAGAGGCTAAAAATTAGCATATATTCTAAACATATCTGAGACAACAAAGTGCTACATTGTTCAGTGGGTTCTGTTTCAACCTCAAGGACTTCAGGTGATGTCAAACTATGCTGTATTTTAAGATGTTTTGGTAATACTCTTATTTCGCTTTGTGTTTATTCATCTCCTTTATCCCCAGAGAAACTGGCCATTTCAAAGAGTAGTTCTGAATCTGACCAATAGAACGTGTCTTTATGTGTACTTGGATACTAAAAACAACTCTGTGGACAGAAGTCTTAGAATTCCTGATTTGCAAAAGACTCATATGACCTAGCACTTTCTGCAAACAAAAATATTTGTTCAGGTTCAAGGAAGCTGAGTCTTTAGGCTAAGGGAGAAGATGTTAATGCTATACTACTTCTTAAATACAATCTGAAATATTAACCCAGGAGAGTTTACACTGGTTATATATTTTTTTTTCTTCCATTCAGTTGTATCCCATTCTTGGAGACTGTCTGGATAATTCTTTGCAGTTTTCTTAGCAAGATTTTTCAGAAGTGACTTGCCATTGCCTCCTGCTTAGGGCTGAGAGAAAGTGACTGGCCCAAACTTCACACTCAAGGTGGGACTAGAACTTACAGTCTGATGCCTTAACCACTATACCAGACTGGGTTTCTACTGATCACATACAAATCTTTTAAATATTGTAAATAAACAACATGGTTATTTACTGTAGTTTTTAGTTCACCCCCACTGTACTACAGCATAAGCAAAACAAAAACATGGAATATTGAAATATGTGTCCAGGAGACAGCCAGCATCAGCTTTCATCATATCCCAGCACAGCCCTTTGTGTCTCTGGCACCTCTTTGCAATGTGTTATTGTTACAAATATATTTATAAAAATTAGCTCCTTTCATTGGCACCACTAATACATATTAAGAGCTATAATTAAATACATCTTATGTATTTCCAAAGATCCCAGAATCTTTTTCTTTCTTCTAATAGAGATTTGTTTACTTGCTTGGAGACAGATACAGTTCAAAACAGAGAAAAAAAGAGAATGACCAAGATATAGGATTTATCACACAGAAATTTGGAATTAGGGGATGCGGGACTAAAGGTGATTACATAAATTACCAGAATATATAATGTGGAAAATAGCTTTTAGTTGCCTCTAGTTAATATAGTGTAAAATTAATATAAACAATGCAAAAAAATGGAATAAAGTTTTTTTGTCATTTTTGTCATCTCTTGTGTTTTTATTTTGCATTGTTTTTATTGAGCTCTGAAAACTTGATATTGGGGGACTGAATTTGCTACTGCTCATCTGTAGCATAGAACTGGATTTTTAAAATTAAAAATCCGATATTACTGTATAATAAAAGTTTTCATGCAATGCTTGCACTATTTCAGCATAATATCTCACTCTTTCTCTTCAGGTATTGATTACAAAACAACAACAATACTTCTGGATGGCAGGCGAATAAAGTTGCAGCTCTGGTAACTGAATTTTGTTTGGATTATGTTCTATATTTTGAAAACTGAAATATATTCTTTGTGAACGTGTTAACTCATAATCTAGTGTACTCAATCTATTTTTGAGTGATCCATCGAGAGTAGGATTGGTTTCATACCTGGTAAAGATCTTAGACTATCCCAAGTATTCCTCCCACCCTCATATGATTTGGAAATCAATTGCTATTCTCGTAAAACCGATGTGACTGAACACCAGTGTTGTCCTCCGCACTTTTAGCCTAGCTAAATATTATTACAAATCAGACCAAATTATTTAATAAACCTAATCACAGATATCAATTTTATTTGTTCTGAATATTTCCTAAACGAGTATATGAGTTTAGTGGGGCTTTATGCTGAGCATTAGACAGACCAAGGACAGGATCACCCAGAGCTCTTTCAGATGATTGTCTTCAAGTGCTACTCACCAATCTTTCACCCAGCAGAAAACAAGCCAGGATAAATTGGGCTGCCTCCTTTAATTGATCTCTATTCTACCCCAACAAGGAACCTTCCAAATTGAGTTGACCTTATTAATTAATGTAGTCCTGTAATGTAAGCAAGGTGATGGTGGATTTCCCTGGCTTTGATTCCCATTCACCCAGAATCGCAGGAAAAACAACTACCAATCATTCCCTTTAATGTACAGCATGGTAGGGCAGGGTTCAACAACTGTTTAGAAAGATGGGCTTAGTCCTCTGATCAAGAGGTGGCAGGCGTGGGGTAAAGCAGGAGGGAGTTTTTGCAGTGTTCCTGCTTAGTGCAACCCATCCTCTAAACTAGTGACCTGTTGGATGGGCTTTCTCTGATAAAGTGAGAGGGAGTGATTGACAGTCAGTGAGCTCTGTCCTCAACTAGGGCTGCACACAGATATACACAGAATAATCTATAATGTGTGCACTGATCTGTATTCAAGTATCTTGTTTTCAGTTTTGGTAAATTGTTGAATATTAATAATAAATGTAAAATGATAAATGAAGATAAAAGCAAGATAAAAGCTGATTAAGGCGGCTTAATCAGACAACCGTTTATAGTACTTCACTCTTAGAATGGAAATGATTATATTATTAATCGTGTGCTGTATTACCTTCAGGGACACATCTGGACAAGGCAGATTCTGTACCATATTTCGTTCCTATTCCAGAGGTGCTCAGGTAAGCACACACTCTGAACTGTATCAGTGAGGCAGAGAGAAATGATAATGCAAAGAAATTTTGGTTTAAGATTCATATATGGTTGGAAAAGATGACCAAAATACAGATAGAATTTAAACCAGAATTTGATTTTGATTTTGATTTGATTTTATTAGATTTCTACCCCGCCCTTCTCCTTGCGGACTCAGGGCGGCTTACAGCCCGTTAAAAACAAGTAAACAAATACAAAAAACATACCACATTTTAAAATCAATTAAAATAAAATATTGCAATAGGCCAATTAGTATCCTTTAAAACCAATAGAAAACTAATTAAAAGTAATNCGAGAATAGCATTTGCCCAATTTTGGAAAAATGAAAACTTACCATCTGACCAAATTATAATTACAAAAATCTTAGAATGTGCAGAAATGGACAGACTAACGTTAGAGATTAAAGAGAAAGAAGATTCAGTTTACTTTAAAACATGGGAAGAATTTTTATCAATGGTTAACAATACGATCTAGCGAGAAAAGAATGTGAAACTTAATAGGCTGAATGAGATTTATTGATTAACTATTACTTTCATGATCATTGCTATTTTTAGTGACTATAAGTGTTTAATATTATGTTAATTACTGTTATTTAATATTTGTACCCGGACGATAGTCCGCTTGCTAAAGCATTGAATGACTACTATACCTACCCTAACTCCATTTCCCAACCCTACCAAATACCCATACTGACCCTACCCCTAACCCTAACCCTTTCCTACCCTTATAAAACCTAATAAAATTTAATAAAAAAAAGAATTGCCAGGGGAAGCAAAACGATAAATGTATTGTCCTACTTTTTAAAATGTGTAGACATTTGTGCTGAATATAAGTAATGTTTTACAGAAAAGTTCAGATCTGTTCAACACAACTTCTTATAATGTCATCAAATACCATTACACAAGATTGTACAATGCATATTTAAATTTACCCATATGTCAGACTAATTTTAAATGGATTTCATTCACCCAGGGTGTGATACTGGTATATGATATAACAAATCGCTGGTCATTTGATGGCATTGATCGGTGGATAAAGGAGATAGATGAGGTAAGATATCAAATAATAAATATATTTACCTGAATTGAAAAGAGTTCTACATTTAAGATACCACCTAAATTACCATCCACAGGCTGTAAAATGAAAAGACCTGGTGTAAACTCAGTCATTGTAGTTTATAAACAATGATTCATGGCTTTATTTTGCAAACTTGGGTAGTTGTGGCTTACTCAACAAAACATGCCTTTTAAATTTTTTTGTATTTGGTTGGATGGATGGATAACTTCCAAAATCACTATGGATGGACAAGAATAGAAACTTAGTAACAAGAAAACTAAGAATGCTTAGGACAGTGCTACAGTTCCTAGAAAGAATCCTAGGGGTATAGGATGAAGCAGAACTTTCTTATTACTTCTAGAAGTGGTCTGTCTTCAAAGATTTTTTCATACAGTGGCTTGATGGTCAAGCATTTTCATCAGCCTTAAGTTCTTCCCCTTTCCTTCAAAGCTTTTATTGATTTATGGATTACATACTCCAGGAACATTTATGGATTACATATTCTTTGTCAGTGTTTCCAAAGAAGTGGTGCTAGACTTCCTTTCAGGGAAGCAAAAGACAAAAAAAAATAGCATTCTTAGAGCAGGTGATAATTGGATCTGGATCCTAAATGCTTCTATTTCTTCAACATTCAGGGAATAGAATTCCCTACATCTTCTCTCTTGTGCAGCTCATTCACTTGATTGTAGCCTGGCCTATGTATTACGTTAAGCCATGCTTTATTTTGTCATGATCTGATGAATAAATCACAAATTGACCAGAATCATATAATACACAAAGGTATCAATCATGTTTTAAAACCAGACATCTGTCTTCATACAATATTTAAGATAATCCCAAATAACAACCGTATGATTTTGCATATTAATGAACCCAGTCCACATACGATAGTTAGGCATAGTCAGAAAATTGAGCTAGCCTGAATAAATGTTATGCTGTTTGTCGTTTTGATGAAAATGGGTGTAGATTTTGAAATTAACATTGTTCTGATTCTCTTTCTCAGCATGCTCCTGGTGTACCCAAAATCCTGGTTGGCAACCGCCTGCATCTAGCCTTCAAAAGGCAAGTGTCTACTGAGCAGGCACAGGCTTATGCTGAACGATTAGGCATGACATTCTTTGAAGTAAGCCCACTCTGTAATTTCAACATCACAGAGTCCTTTACAGAACTTGCAAGAATTGTGTTAATGAGACACGGAATGGACCGGCTGTGGAGGCCAAACAAGGGTAAGCAACAGAAATGTATTTACTTCTTTCCTATGTATGCTAGTTATATATTTAGTCAGGATGAAAAAAATTATAAAAAATACTTTGATACGTACTTGTGATCTAATGTCATAACCAGCACCTAATAAATGCTTCCCATTTTAAGATGAGCAATCAGAAATTAGCCCATGCATTCCCCCAATTAAGATTGATATACAGCAGTTCCTAGTAATCCTGATGAGTTCATCATGCCAGTAATTTTGCAGAAACATTACCAGAAGAGGCTCCAAATCCCTCATGCCTCATCCTACTCCTTGAAGATAAATGGCAGACCAAAGGCAAAGCCAACAGAAGCATCAGCAAACTAGGCTCAGCTTCATTTAAACTTCACCCTTTCCTTCAAAAGGAAAAGGCAAGGAAGATGTTGAACTGATCCTGCAGAACTCCTAGCGGTTTCATTGCAACCTCCCCTTAATGAGGAAGGATATGGTATAGATAAAAGAAGAAGCAAACCAGGTTTTCAGAAATGCAGTCATACTATTCTTATCATTTTAGCTTTGGGAGCATTTTTAGGGGGCTCCCCAAAAAATGTGCAAGATTATTTGTATCAATGAAGGCAAGCCAAGGTAGTGGGAAGAATCAGTGAAGGATTAGGGTGGCACTTCAAAAATAGTGAAATAGAGATAGGGTTATTAAAACTTATACAACGTTCTAGCTGTGTACTGCCATCATGTGGCTGTTAAGATCTTTTTAATATCTAATCTTACTTGTTTTATGTTTCAGTCTTGAGTCTACAAGATCTTTGTTGCCGTGCTATAGTTTCCTGCACGCCTGTGCACTTGGTTGACAAACTTCCACTCCCTGTTGCCTTAAGAAGCCATCTCAAGTCATTCTCCATGGCCAATGGCCTGAATGCTAGAATGATGCATGGTCGTTCTTACTCTCTCACCGCCAGCAACAATAACAAAAGGAACAGCCTGAAAAAAGCCAAAATCATCCGTCCGCTTCAGAGTCCTCCAAAGCCTTGTGCCAGAAATAGTTGTAAAATCTCCTAAGCTATCTTTGGAAATCTTTGCCCAGCATTGTTAACACAAGGACTAATTCAGTAGACAAATCTATTGTATGTAGGTATTGCTTTGCAGGAACAGGACAAAAGAAAAAAAAATATTTTAGATCATTTGTTTTTAATAATGCTGCTTCCAGATATATGATGCACTTTGTGCAAACAGAGGAATGTGAAACTTTAATGTTGGATTTTATATATATCAATTTTTTGATGTGCATGAAATCTTTGTGTATTTTATAAAGGGAATAATTTATCACAATACTGAGCTTTTGTGTCACTGAATCTCAACTGTGACTAATTTTTAATATTGCTCAATTATTACATTTTATTTGCAATTAGAATGAAAGTCAATCGTAGATTCATCTAGTTTTAAATAACAATGTATTGTATACATTGTAAAAGAATATAAGTAGTGACATTCTAGTATTGTTTCAGTATAGCATCTGATTCTGGTTTTGTACAGTTTATTGAGTGATTCTAAAGCACGACTTTTGAGCTACTAATGTAATATGCACAAGAAATTGTCTCATCCATGTATAAAACATTTGATAAAGTTTTTTGCTATGTTTCAGAATTAAATTGTGGATTATATGCTTATTTTTCTGGTAAATCTACATTTTTGTATTAGATATTCTAGTGATCGTTATATAGTGAAAAAGCCAAAGACATCAAGACATATTTGCTATAGCCTAAGAAAAAATGTAATTTGAAAAGCTGTTTTATCAGGAAAGGACACTATTATTTAAAAATAAAAATAAATCCTGCAAAGTATATGTGTGTTTTTTCAACTGAAATATTTTATCCTCCTTTCCCAGCTTTTGAATGCTTTCTCAAATCTCTATTCCTCTATCAAGACAGATAATGTTTATTGTAATTTGTTTGCAATAAAGGCCAGTTTTTTTCCATTTTAACTTAAGTGATCAGAAAGACTTGAAATAAATAGCCTGAATAATGTCATAAAGCAAATTTATTCATGATTTTAAAATAATGGTGTTTTCAGTCAGGCAGCTTATATTGCTATCAGTGAACAAATGCAACTATCATGTTTTCCCTCTATAATAAATTTTATGGTAAGTAAAATAGTCCTAAGAAAGTATAACCTACAAATGTCATAGTTACAAATAAAATATGTTTGAATAGCTTTGAGTGGTTTACAAATTTATGGAAGGAAATGCAATGATCTTACTGCAGATAGGGAATTTTTTTCTGTTGATTTTTTTTATTTTAAATTGACTTGTTTTTCATATAGTTTTGCTTTGATTTTCACTTTGATTTCATTTGGGGTCTAATTATAATACTATACCTTTGCTGCAATTGCTATTATTGCTTAGTTTATAATATCTTTACTGTGGAGAGGTTTCTGAAATCTATACGTGCTATATAAATTTCACTCTTCTGATACTACCATTTTTCATAAACACAATGAATTCTTACATGACATGTCAGTAGCAACTGTCGTTTTTGTCATAGCAAAATTATCTCATTATTATATTAAATGTTTTATCAGTTTTGAACCCTCAAGTCCTGCTGTTCTGCCTCATTGTAGTGATTGCCATTTGTGACTTTCCCTGTCAGCTTCCCATAAACCAAATCAATGGGAAGCTGACAGGAAAGGTTGCAAGTCATTCCATAAGTCACTTCTCCCAAGGAGCCCCACTCTGGTGTACAAGATTACAGGGATTTTGTACGGGGTGGCACAGTGGCTAGAATGCAGTATTGCAGGCTGACTCTGCTCACTGCCAGAGTTCAATGCTTAAGATGCTCAAGGTTGACTCAACCTTCCACCCTTCTGACGTCGGTAAAATGAGGATCTTGATTGTTGATTTTATAGCATCTGACCACTGTTTTGTAGTACATATGCCCAGGGTCCCAGCTGTGTCACCTGCACTCAGAAGTGCCTGCTGTAGCCTCTGCTAGCCGCATGAATAAAAATTATAATACCTCTTTATAAATTTACCCAAACTAGCAAGGTATTGTCACTTACTAGGGGAGCAGAATTTCCAGCCTCATGTAAGTAGGCAGTAGAAACCAATGTAGCTTCTATTATTGTATTTTATTTATTTATTTGTTCGTTTATTATTTACTCACTCCCCCCCACCCAGCTATCCTTTGAATGTGCTTGGGAAAGAGTTCTGGGTGCGTTCAGTAGCACTAACTCCTAAGTTTTTATGGTACGTACGACTGATACATTAGGTCAGTGTTTCTCAACCTTGACAATTTTAAGGCATGTGGACTTCAACTCCCAGAATTCCACAGCCAGCAATGCTGGCTGTGGAATTCTGGGAGTTGAAGTCCACATGCCTTAAAATTGTCAAGGTTGAGAAACACTGCATTAGGTGGTTTGGAGGGGATGGAGTAAAAAAAAATCAGTGTTCATCTATAAGCAATTTTCCTACAAATTCTTGCCTATACCGAATTTAAATAAGCGTAAGCATATTTTAACCCCCCCCCAAATTTTATCTAATTAAGATTGTATCTAATTAAGAGTCTCGTGTATTCCTTCCCAAATCACCTCCGCTGATCGGCAGCGTCAGAATGCAGCCGCATTGAAGTGACGGGGGGTGTGTGTCTTATCGCCCACTCCTCACCCTCCAAAGTCGCTGCTTACCTATTTTGTAAGGACCAGGGGAACACAAAACCGATGTAAGGGAAAGCGACAATTCGGTCTACTATGATCTTGGGTTTTCCCCGTATAATTCTAAGTAGCTCTACTCAGAAGTAGGAACGGTGCAATGAGCGGGCTCCCACCGCGAAAGTCAAGTCCGCCGTAAACATCCGAAACGCGAGAGCGCGCGGATTCAAGCGTGAATTAGCTCGGCCCTCAGCCGGGTGGGTTTCCTTCATCGATGCGCTCTGCAATCAGGCAGCGACTGTAAATCGGCCAGAGACTACATACAGTTCTGTAGTACTGACTGTACTGATTTGGGGGAAGCCGCCGCCGCCGCTGCTCAACAGCTCCAGCAAAGCCAAGGAAAGCGGTTCGATGCGCTCTGCGCTCCGGGTGCTCCTGATCTAGTCCGGAAGGAATCGTATCGCCATCGCCGCCGCCGCCGCCTCTGCCTCTCCTCGGCTGATGGTGTGAGCGACCCTCTTTCCCCAGGCCGCGGCCTTTCCCATCGTCCGGCGCCATGAACCTGCTCCCCGTCAATCCGCACGGGAATGGGTTGCTCTTCGCCGGCTTCAACCAGGACCACGGTAGGGATCTCATGGGTGGGTGTGTGTGTGTGTGTGAGTGAGATCATCTGCTTGCGTGCCTGCCTGCCCGCCCGCCCGCCCGCTGCCCATTTCAGGCGTTTGCGGACGGGGAAACGCAGGCCTGCTTGTTTCCTTTTCCCGGGTTCTTGGCTTCTGCTGTTTCTGGGAAGAGCGTCAGTTGCTAGCCCAGTTTCCTAGGAGGAGGTAGCGAGAGGCTGGAAGCGAAGTCAGAGGATTTGTGCAGCGTTTCTTCCTTCTGGATCTGCTGCTGGGTCTTCGGCACATACTGCGCTCGCCCGGCCTTTTCAGTTGTTGGGAAGGATATTTTGCTTTTTGCCGCTGCCGCCGTTTTCTTTCTGTTTGGGGGCGGTTGTTGGCAGCGTTTGGATGGCACATGTGCTTAATTTAAACTCTGCTGTCCGGTTTTCAGTCCAGTTTTCTGGGCTCGCAAGACACGCCAGGCTGAAAAGCAATTGACCAGTCTGTGGTCCGGTGACAGAGAACAGACTGGGAGGTTTTACTGGGAACAAGAGGTCAGTTCCCCATCTGCCAGAGGCTAGTGCTAAGTAGAAGAGTCAAAAGCCAGAGGTTAGCGGAACTGTTCAGATTTATGGTGAAGAATCAATCGCACCCATCCCACTCTTTATGATACAGAAATTCTATGTACTTTTGTTCCCTCCCAAGATAAATAAGCTTTTGTGAGGCAGAAATAGTAGCATAGGCAGGGCCTGGCTTTTGCTATTTAAGACTATATATATATACACACACACACAGGAACTCCTTATTGTTACATGTTTGCTGGGCTTAACCCTCACTTTTTCTTTTCTATAGCAGATCGGTAATTTAACAGTTCTCTTTTGTAAATACAGTAGGTACCAATCCTGACCTGCAGCTCTCCTTGAATAGAGCCCTACTCTCTTCCTCATGGCCAAGTTAAAGTGCTATTCACTGATTCTTGAGCCAGCAAAAAAGTATGGTGGCCTAAAGTGTGTCACTTCTGTGGCCCATCCCTAGTCTGCCACGCTAACAGAGATAGTGAGCGGTACTTAATTTACCGCAGGGCAAGTTTAAAAAGGATTGATGGATCCCCAGATTTAGTTTGTCCTCCCTCTGAGATTCACCTGCTGATGGAAAACAACCATAACTCCCCCTAACGTGAGTTAGGTGAGTTTTAGACATGCTTTGAATGGCAGGTTTAGCCACCACTTATCAAGTTGTTCAACTAATAGGCACTAAAGGTGTATCTGGGGTAAAGAAGGAGAGAGTTCTCTCAGTTTTGCTGCAGAATGTTCTGAACATTGATATAGTACTTTCTGAAAGAATATATTAAACCCTGTCCCAAAGAGCCTGGCTAGCAGATAACAAACTCAAGGGAAAGCAAGGAGAAGTAGGAGAAAGCAACTGCTTGATAAGGAGTAAGCTCCTTCTTGACTAGGACTGCTGGGGAACCAAAAAGAAGCAGAATGATCAAGGAGTTCAGTTTGTTTGTTTATTTTATTTGCATTGCTGCCTACTCTACAAACCATTCAAGGTGGCATAGAGCACAAATTTAAAAACACATTGTAACAGTAAAAGTAGAACTCAATAGCCAGCAGGCCCAAATGTCAAAAAACAACCATGGAGAACACATGTCTTACAGCTGATTTTGATTTGTTTACTGTGAAAATGACAATAATCACTAGGGATCTACAAAGTATTCTATGTACAAACCATTTCATTCACAGAAGAGCTGATTTCAGGTTGTCTATACCTGACTGAAATATAAGAGTTTTGGATGGGTTTGGTCTGTATATGAAATCAAACAGGGCTATTTTTGTCCTGATGTAGACCAAAGCATGATTGTTCTGGGCAGGTTGATTTAGGAGGGTAAGGAAATCAAGAACGTGGTTGGCTAAAAGAAGGAAGGAAGGAAGGAAGACACTAAGAAGATAGGCTGACTGGCAGTCTGGTGCAATATCTGTATTAGGAGCTACTTCCTTGCAGCTGAGACTATTCCAGTAAAGAACACAAACAGTTGTTGCAACAGCTAAGGGAAGGAAAGAAAAGTCCTGCAAAGATTGAAGGAGGCGTGGGCCTGCCAGGTGTGCTGAAAATCTGTGGCAGTGGGAATTAAATGAAGGGAGAAAAAGAAACATGCTGGTGTGTGTGTGTGTGTGTGTAGAGCTGCTAAGAAAGGGTGACATACATCAGCCTTGCCTTATAACCCCTAAAGTCAAAGGCATCTTCCATATTTTCTGTCATATGTATATCAAAACAGCCAAACTGTTTTGGTTCTGCTAAATTGCAGTCAATCTGAAAGGATTTGCCTGTACCTCCAGAATCCAATGGTTTCTTCTGGGTTGCATATAAAACATATTTCTAATTTTGTGTATACCTATAATCACCATAATATCTATGCAACAGGCAAAATGGTGCCTCCTCAATTAAAGGAGAGAATACATAACCATGGTGGTCCTACTTCCTGTTGTCAGTGCAGCACTGGACTAGAGCTCTTTCAAAAGAGTACATGCTCCATGTTTGAAATGCTCACCAGGGTATGGCTGGAGAT